TATAAGTGAGGTCACGAAATAATCCAGAGAGTATAGGGACTCGAACGATAAGACGACGCTAATGAGGATTTGGCGAGTGTAAACTACAGCGCAAAGTCGCAATGGGTGGAAGATTACTGTACGTACGTCGCTTTTAAACCAATCCGTCTCCGCGTTTTTCGGCGATCGTACGCGGTGCACGGGTTAAAGGGAGGGTAGCGGGCGGAGTTTCCTGGACAACGCACTAATCTCCCCATTAAGTACTTATTTAGGGGTATGTAGAGTAGCTTTATTTATATGGGAAATGTGGAAGAGAATTGTAACAAGAAGATAGGCATTGATATTCCAATTTGCTCAAGCCACAGTACTGGTTTTTTGTAATAAGCTAAAGCTTCATGAAGGATGAGCATTGATTTGGTACGCTACAATCAATTACAGTACTTCACAGCCTTAACCCCATATTCTTTGTAAGTAATAAAATGAAGAAAAATTAACATCGTTGCTTTGATTTATTATAATGTACAGCCAGCGTTATATCGTAAAGGGAACGGCTCATCTTAAAGGTGAAGAAATCACTCCTTCCATCGCACAACCCAATTTCCGAATTAACTGCTTAATAGCACTGGCCCTGAGCACTAAATTCCGAGAGATCACCCAGTTGAGCCTGCGTACTGCTGCTATACATGCTTTCGGCAAAAACTACATCAGGATGTTAAGGACTACTTGTAGAGGTTTGCTTCTAGCGAAATGTGTGCTACTTTCAAACGACCTACCATCCTCATGTTCCAAATTTCTCAACTTTTTTACACGATATATTATGAGAAGATAGTTGTATATGAGAGCCATTAACACAGTGTTCAGCGGCGGCGCTATGTGGTGACAACAATTATGCGAAAGTAATTAGAACAGCACTTTACGCGCAACGTCATTCATGACAAAGTGATTTGATATCCTTTGCATTGTTCCTAAAACGTACCAATTTCAATTTGAATGCGGCTCCCATATTAGGGTCCACTATATGAAAGTCTCAAAATTTCCATACATGTGTCAATAATTCAAAGGATTCTTTTCCAAAGGATTTCCACTTTTTAGAGAAAAACTATCTTGATACCATTTATTGACATTTCCTTAGAGAGAATCAGTTTCCTCAAGTGAGGCTTTCTCAAGTGATGTTGACGTCTTTCTCCGCAGTGTAAATGCTTTCTCTTGCACTGATTTTCCACCAACATTTTCTAAATACCTACTTTGTAGCGACCAATCCTATCAGCTGCATTCATTTCTAGCTTTTTCCAGCAAAAATTCCGATGTGCGAGAAAATGGGCTGAGAACTGTTAACCTGCTACTTGACATAATACTCACTTATTTACATCATTAAAAAGTTCCCGTGAAGTTTTATAGAAAGAGAAACATTTTCAGAACTCTGCATCTAATATTTGCTTGATCTTAACTCAGTATTTGTTGGCAGAAAAAACTTTCGGACTTTGCTCAGTCTCCAAATCAATTGCATTAGAACTCATTCTGTACAGTACCACCTCAGTTATATATTTATAAACAAAAGAATGGATGAACTCAAAGAGAAGAAACTCGATGGTCATGGCACATGAAATCGAGAAATTCTAAAAATAAACCTTGCTAGTAGTGCTATCAAGGCAACCACCGACTGAACTAAAATGGATATAAACATGATCATACAAACAGAGCATAGAGAGCACTGCTGCCTCAAGAATTCGACAAAAAATTCATTTGACAGGAAAGGAAAGTCTCGTCGAATGAACAAAAGAGTTGTGAAAAAGAATCAAGGCATATATTTCGTACGGCACAGCTAGACCCACTTTGCTCTTCTAAACTATATATGGTGAGGTGGAGAAAGTAATGAGAATTCACATTCATATGATTAAAGCGATCGCGCAGCAAGAGCTTCGCGCAGCTGTCAAAAAAGCTCATAAAACTGCTCACAAGGTTTTACATATTTTTACAAAGTTGTTGCTGCGAAATAAAAGCAGCTCGTGGATGCTAATAGTATCCTACAATGAAAAAATTGCATACGCGATCTATTCGACTTACTCAGGTTGATCTTCTTTACTTTCCTTTAGTACCTCGTGAAAAGAGCAAAATTACTCTTTGTATACAATAAACACTGTACGTAGTTGCACAAGAAAGACTGTACAACGTTCAAACAATAAGTATTAACAGTTCTAACAATAACATAGAGAAGTAAAACAACATATTCAATAAAGATTTATATTGGCCTCTATGTAGAAGAATAATAATGAGAAGAAAAGAGATAACGAAGAGAGCCTCGACACTAACGTGTAGCTAGAGAACACACGTTAGAATTCGAAGCTGGAATTTCTTTCGGTACCCGGCGAGGGTCAAGCGGTAATGTTGTAGTGCACTCCATCCTGAATGGGCTTTGCAATCTGTGTTGTTTTTATTTCCGACTGCTTAACCTACCGGCAAAATGCTGCAATACCGCTTTCAATACCATCGATACTCGAAAGAAGACTAGATCCACCTCGACCGGAAGAACAGTGCGACTCGGTTGAGTGCCTAAATACGCATGTACCTCTTATCAATTCTTATAATAACGAAGTTTTCAGTGTATCATTCTTCCTCATCCACTGTTAATCGATACTCGAAATACTGTTAACGAAAGGAAAACTTTGTTTACGTAAAAATTGGTCTTGGTCTCACAGCGCTGTGCATTTTCTTATTTTCCGGCAAAAGATAATGAAAAGCTCAAACACTTCTAGAAAGCGCATTACTACTTGCCACAGAGGTGAAGGATTCGTAGTAGTATTTAGAGAAGAAGAAGAGTCAGAAGCAATGAATAAAGTCACTCTTTTAACCTAACTTGTTCTTGATAAGGAGCCTATAACAGAAGATACTATAGTAAGACCCATAATCTGTTCGTGTCCGAATTTTGCATTTTTATAAGCACCGGTGGCCCCAAAGCTATTTATAATACAACGAGATTAACATGAGGACAGCATTAGAACCACGCAATCAAACTACATGCAGGTTTCATAGTTGAATTATTATACCACTTTTCATTGTTTATAATTTTAAATAAGCCCTTAATTTTAAATCATCTTTGAGATACAAATCATGCAATGCGCGGCATAAGTTCTCCATTAAGTGTGAGCCAACCTGTGAAGCACCTAAGATGACCGCACTTGAAAAGAGTAACAATAAGGCTTATCCCAATTTTCCAATTGAAATATCTTATTTTCATCGATACAATCCTGCATAGATTTTCTTGAACCTGAACGACTTACACCGCCTCAGCAAAGTGTACATATTGAGAGATTCAAGGCTAGCAACGCTCAGTTACGAAAAGTTACAAGTAGGTGCAAATAGCTAAATTGGAATTTGCTTCATTATGCAAGTTGGGCCTGAATTTTGGTTAAGAAGATGTGGAGCGTATAACGCTTCTGACACCTTCACATCTCATCTTTAAAGACTGCGTACAGCTCAACGGTGCGCGATGTCATAAACACATCCTAACTAGTTGCCAAAGTCAAAGTTAGGAAACTGTGCATAAGAATCACTCGTTACTATTGCAGACTATTTAGAAAATTTCGACGCAATAGACAATAATGCTTTGGAAACAATTTAACCTTGTATAAGTATAACCTTCAACTGCATTCATAGAGAAGAAAACACTTTAGTACGCATGTTTTCACCGCGCCACGCGTGTTTAAGGTGACAGAAGCTATGCTTTGAAATGAAAATTTTGCCTATTCTTTGAGTAATGTTTACAAGCTATGTGCAGCGTAAAGATCTCTTGTTATAGGGATGTTGAAACTGTTTTTCACCAAGTTGTTTGATAAAACCTAGCAAAAC